CAGAGTGGTACGAGCCCGCGTCGTTGCGTTTCGGCGGAGCGATCATAGCCCCCATGAGGGGAAGCGGATTGGATGGTCAGGCGAGCTGTATAGGGAAAACACATGTTTCTGTTCGCTACGCCTCATTTTCGTCTTTCGCCGTATTACCATTCGTCTCCACCTCGTCGTCTGTCGCTCCATCAGTGTAAGCCCGTCTTGGACAACACAAGCAACACCATACCAATACGCCCATATGAGCATAATTCATACTTCGAGAGTTTTCCTGACCCGAGGCTCCTTCCGTAAAGACACCGGCAGCATATGGTTTGTAGTTATGTGTTGACTTGTTACCTGTCTGGGTGTCCATTGCAATCCTCCTCTCCTTTTCCTCTCGTTCTCCTCTTGCTCCCTATCCCACCTGGAGAATGCTTCTTCATTGCTTGGGGCATGACGGGCTTCATGGCCCCCGCCCCCCCCTTCCTCCCTCCTATGACGTAACGCTCCCCCCCTCCCCAGTGCGCTCCGGGCACTGCCGCCGTGCGCGTCGGGATCCGCATAGGTGTCCGCATAGGAAGCCGCACATGAGTCTGGTCCGCAGTCGTCGTTGTCATCGTCGCTCGTCGCTCGTCGCTCGTCACTCATCGTCGTCGTGCGCGCGGACGCGGCTGGAGCTGCTTTCCGGGCCGATGATGGCAATCATTTGGAGGGGTTGGGTGGAGGGGGCCGATGACGTCACGTTTCATGCCGGCGGCGTTTGGGAATGCCTAGGAATGGCCGGGGACGGGGAGCAGCAGCATGTAGGTGGCGATCTGCGCCACAGCGCCTGTGTACAGCACAGTACCCACGTGAACCTCAGCGCTTGTGTATACCACGCCGCCTATGTACACCACAGCAGCCGCGTGCAACACAGCGCCAGTGTGTGCCACAGTGCCTGCGGGCACCACACCGCTCGTGTACACCACAGCGCCTGCTTACACCACATCATCCGTGTGGAACACAGCACCAGTGTACACCACAATGCTTGCGTGCACTCAGCGTTTGTGTACACCACGACGCCTGCGTGCACCACACCAACCTGTTGCATATATTATTGTAGTGGCCTCCAGCCAGCGCCGCCGGTCCGCGACGATTCCGTTGCTGCCGGGAGCGCGCGATGGCGGTCATGACCGGCGACGGCGGCGAGCGGTAAGGATGATGAGGACTGGAAATGGAGGCGACGGGGTAGGACGAAGAGAAAGAGGTGGAGGAAGAGGAGGAGGAGGAGAAGGAGGAGGATCATGATGAGGTGGAGGGGGGCGGAGAGGGGAGGGGAATGAGCAACAGGATGCTGAGGATGAGGAGGAGCAGGACGAAGCGGGAAGTGGAAGAGGGGGAGGGGGAGAAGGAGGATCATGACGAGGATGACGAAATATTCGGCGGTTCTTGGAAATGTCCGGCGGTTGCTGGAAAGCCTCTTTGCGGCCTCCTCGCGCGGTCCTTTGCGGGCCCATGTGAAATCATGGATGCGAATGGCACCGAAGACGGGAAAAATATGTAAAGCGTGGAATATTATTTTGTTTTGCGACGCTTGTGTTCAGACGTAAGCGTTGTGGAAGCATTGGCGCCGGTTGCGGGCTTTTCGGGGGGAGTTTTGGAAGCAGCTTGGAAGCCTCCAGAAGGCGTCTTGGATGCATTTGTTGAAACTCTTGGGGGCATCTAAGGGGCTTCAGGGGGCCTGTTCGGGGCCAGTTGAAAGCGCTTTGGGGCTTCTTCGTGCCTCTAGGGGGCCTCTGGGGGCCTGTTGGGTTTTTTTGCCCTCCTGGGCCATCTTGGGCCCTTCTGGGGCTGTCTTGGAGCATTATTGGCGGTTTTTTGTGCCGTTTCGGGGCTCTCTTAGGGCGTCGGCGACGCTCTGAACGCCCCACAGGCGAACATGTTGAAATTGTACGTTTTCCTGAGGAAATGAGGCACGTGTTGCTTATTTGGGTTTTTTGGGGGAGGCATCTTTTTCATGGCATTTGAGGGCATCTTGGAGGCTTCTGGGGCCGTCTCGGGAACTTCTCGGGCGTTTTGTGGCGATCGTTCGGCGACTCGGGGCCCTCTTGGCCCATGTCGGGGCCCTCCTGGGCGAGGGGGCCGTCCCGGAGTGAGCTGGAGCTCCGATTCCGCCCCGTGAATTATATCGAACTCCGCCCCCCCCCCTTTGCCCCCCTTTGCCCCGGCAAAGCCACCCCGGCACCCACCCCCCAGTAGAGCTGAAGCTCAGGAATTGTAGCTCAGGCTGTTCTGACAGTCTTTGAAACTCACGCCAGACCGGCGGATTGCGGAAGGAATCCTTAAAGCAAAATGCAGCGCCTGTGGGGTCCACAGAAAACAAGTGTTTTACATAGGATTTGGAACGGAATCCTTATGGAAAAAGAAGCGCCGCTGCAATGTACGAGTCCTCTTGGGCCCGCCCGCGTCCTGCAGCAGAATTGGCCGTCCGAAGACCAAGTGGGGTGATTCAATTGGCCATTCTGCGGCGCACGCTGAGATGCGCACGTGCGATGTAGCGCCGACCCGCACGACAGTGTGGAAGGGTCAGGGAAGACGAGAAGGACGAAGAGGAGGAAGAGGAAGGGGAGGAGGAGGTGGAGGTGGCGGAGGAGGGGGAGGGAAAACGTCACATTCTATTATCAGCACCTCCTTGGCGTGGCGTGTAGTTTTCCGCAGCATATCGCCACCAACATGCTTATGTTACTTGTCCTTTGCACGCAGGCGCTGTGTTGTATTCCAGCGCTGCGTTGCACGCGGATGTTATGGTGTAGACAGGCGTTGTGGTGTGCACGGGCGCTGCGGTGCACGCAAGCACTGTGGTGTACACAGGCGCTGTGTTGCACATGGTTGCAGCGGTGAACACATTCGCTGTGGTGTACACCGGCGTTGTGGTGCACGCAAGCATTGTGGTGTACATTAGCGTTCCGTTGCACATGGCTGTTGTGGTGTACGAAGGCGGTGTGGTTTACACGCACGTTGTGGTGCACGCGAGCCTTGCGGTGTACACAGGCTCTGTGGGGCAGATCGCCAGTTACAGGTTGATCGCGTCGTCGTCGTCGTCGCTCGTCGTTCTTCGTTCGTCGCTCATCGTCGTCGTGCGCGCGGGCGCGGCCGTGGTGCCAGAACCACACGGCGAGGGGAGGGTTGTTACGTCATTAACCCCCCCCCCCGCCCCCCCCGTATGACCTGACGCCCGTCGTCGCCGAAAATAAAAGAAACGCTTTCTTGTAACCCCCTTCGCCCCATGGCCCCTCACGCTCGTCAACCTCACCATCCTCTTCAGTTTCTCGCGAGGCGACATGTTTAGGAGACTTGTTCAGGATGACGGTTGAGGCTTGGGTGGGTATCAAGGAATATGAGGAGGAGAAGAGGAGGAAAAAGGAAGGTGTAGGATGATCATGATGTTGGAGGCATAGGAGGACTGGGTCGGGTATGCGTGTTGAGGAGGATGGAGGAGAATTGATGAGGTTGCAGTACGAGAATTGGTTTCCATGTTATGGTTGATGAGGAGGGTCGAGTAGGCGGGTTTGGGAGGAGGCCTTGGCAGGAAGGTTGATGGAGAGGCTTGGTGATGAGAGTTGGAAAGGGTTGAGTTTTTTATTCGCCATCGTAGAGGACCACTTCGTGAAATATTCACCTGCACGTGATAAGTACGTATACTACCTTCGAGAGCTGACAGGTCATTAGTGCCTCGCTGTCACGCCGCAGAGCGTGATCCCACAATGGGTAGTATGCAGCCCCCCCCGATGAGAACTGAGAACGGGGCTCCGAAACTCGAAAGCAAGTCACCCCCTCGTTCTGGCGACTCCTGGCCAGGCGCAGGTCACCAAAGGCAAAGCCTCAAGACTGCCAAATCATCGCACGCTCGAGCAGCGGACATTGCCCCCGCTAGGTGTGCCGCACGAGTGAAAGACTGCCCAGGGCTGCTCTGAGAGCGCTGGCACCTGAGACGCCCCGCACCCCCAGGTCAGGCGTACGAGAACCGTTGCTGAAACTAGTGCCTAGGCAATCGAAGAAGGTGCCTCGGTATCTAAAAAAACTCTGTATCGATACTAAGGGTAATGGTGGGAAAATGGCCGCCGTCTGCGGCGAGTGACCTCATCGCGACTCGGCGAGAATCATCCCCAGGCCGTAGGGTCTCCAGCTTGAGCCAGAGTGGCCTTGAAAGGGTTGAGTACATGGGATAAGGAGGAGGAGGAAGCGGAGGAGGAGGAAAGGGAGGAAGAGGATGGCCCGACGCGATTGAGAAGTGTAGCGGATGAGGGCTTGGCATGCTTTTTGCAGACTTGCTTTTATGTCCGTCCCTTGCCATCTCGTTTTCGACCAGCGCCACTGGCCATATCGCCAGCGGTGGTCCCACCTTCGTATTTGATGATGCATGGCCCATACTTTGCCAGGAGTTCTGGCAGCGACATGCTGCCACTGTCTGCTTTTGCGCGCCGAGAGTCCTTGCTGCCATTGCTTGCATGATCGCACGAGCTGGCTGATTCAAGCAGTGTAGCTGGTATGAAGCTCCCACGATGGCCTCCCTCGCGCTGCCAGTCCTTGCTGCCACTACCCGCCTTCCCACACGAGCTGATCCCCGCACTGAAGCTGGCGATCCTCTCCCACGCGACAGCTTCTGGCGCTGACGGCTCCTGCTGCCCTTCCCGGCATCTAGCAGGCGCTGGCACCTGCACTGCAGCCAGTGAGCAGCTGATGATTTTCTCCCGCGCATGCCGTGATGACAGTGCCACTTGCTACCATTGCTTGCCAGGAGGCGGAATAGGACGACGACGCGGGAGGAGGAGGAGAAGGAGGAGAGGAGGAGGAGGAGGAGGTGGAAGGGGAGGGATGAGGGCACATGAGGAGGGCAACAGGGAGGAGATGCGGGAAAGAGGACGAGGGAGGGAGGGATGGAGGGGGGAGGAGGGAGAAGGTATGAGAAGGAAGGGGTGGAGAGGAGGATGATGATGAGGACGAGGAGGAGAAGGAGCAAGGGGAGGGGCGATGCTGGGCAAGCCGAGGTGACAGCCCCCTGTTCACGCGGGCCGTTGTCCAGCTTCCACGTGCAGTCCTCGCTTTCCGGCCTGTCGACGTCACCATCTTGCTGAACTCGTTCGCGGCGGCACGGGTGCACAGGACCCTCCCCCTGTCTTTGTGGCACTGCTCTTCTTGGATGAATCGGGGTAGGTTGCTTGTTTGTGTGTAATGCGCTCTCGTCTATCTCTCTCTTTCTCTCTTTCTCTCTCTTTTTTTTCTCTCCCTCTCTCTCTCTCTTTTTTCGTTTGTTTGTTCTCTCTCTCTCTCTCCTTCTGCCTCTCTTGCTCTCTCTGTCTCTCAATCTCTCTGGGCCTCTTGGGGGCCTCTTGACGCTATTTCTGCAGTGTCCGTGGTCATTTTCGGTTGTCTTGTGGCTCTCTTGGGCCGTCGTGGGGCCCTCTCGGGCCGTCTTCGGTTCCTCTTGGCCTTGAGACCCTCTTGGATCCCTCCTGGAACCTTCTTCGGCGTCTTGAGGCCGCCTTGGGGGCTTATTCGGCTATGGCTATCCCACGAGAGCCTCAGAAGTGTCCCTTTGGGCTGCCGAGAGTTTCTGAGCCTTTTCAGCGTTGTGTGGAAGCCAAGTCGATCCGGTCATGTTGGAGTCGGTGACGGCGGGTTCGGCTTCGTGGAGGTCCACGCGATAAACGACAGACGCGCCCATGTGCGGAACCGTGGGGACTGTGAGCCGTGCATAGTCTTGCAACCCCTCTAGCAGTCACATCTGTGTGAGCCGTGGCGCAGCCCACCCACGTGCCGAAACACCCACGCCGAGCCCGCCCGCGGCGTGTCCGTCAAAGCCGCGCATCAGCCTGGCGGTCTTCGACGTCGTGACGCCGTTCATCCTGGAAAAGGCCCGCTGGGGGAGCGGCGGGAGGGAGGGGGGCCCTGCTTCGCTCCCTCTGCCCCTCTCTCTGCTCCTCCTCTGCCCTCCCTCCCCTTTCGCCTCCTCGTCGTCGTCGTCGTTCGTCGTTCGTTGTCGTCGTCCTTGTCGTCGTCGTCCTCGTCGTCGTCCTCGTCGTCGTCCTCGTCGTCCTCGTCGGCGCGCTCGTGCTCCTCGTCGCAGTCTCTTTCATTGTTTTCGTCATCTTCGTTCTCGTCCTCCTAGTTCCCATCTTCATCGTCCTGATCGTCCCCGTTGTTCTGGTCGTCCTGTTCCTTGCCGCCGTTTCAATTTTCTTCGTCGCCGTGTTCGTCCTGTTTGTGGCTGTCGCTGTCGTCTTTGTTGTCTTCGTCGTGGTCTTTGTTTTCCTCGTCATTGTTATCCTCTTTCTCGTCGTCGTCGCCTGGTCATCGCCGTTGTCTTCGTCGTCGTCAACATCGTTGTCGTCGTCAACATCGTCGTCGTCATCGTCGTCTCCGTCATCATCTCCGCCGTCGTTCCCCTTGTCGTTTTCGTCATCGTCGACGGCCCTGTCCTCGTCGTCCTCGTCTTCATCCGCCTTGTCCTCGTTGTCTTCCTCGTCACCTCATTATTGTACGTCGTCGTGGTCGTTGTCGTGGTCCTCTTCGTCTTTGCGCCCGCCGTCGTCGTGGCCGCCTTGCTTTTCATCGTCGTCTTCATCGTCCTCGTCGTCGCCCTCATGGGTCGTCGTTGTCGCCCTCGTTGTTGTCGTCGTCTTCTCGTTCGACGACGATGCCGCCGTTGTCGCCTGGTCGCACCACGGCGTCGTCGGCGATTCCCGCCAGAGGCACCCATGTTCACCGCGGCTGACTGGACGAGCGCCTTGCGTGGGTACTCTCTGCTTGGCCACAGGCCGCCCCGCGGAGGTGGGAGGAGAGAGGGAGGGATGGAGGAACGGAGGAAGGAGAGTCACCACCAATCAGCTCTGACGTCTATGTCCCTGAGTTCGACCACCCCTCAGCCGAACTTCCTGGCCTGCTCTGGGCAGCTGGCTGCTCTACAGTTTCGCGATCAAGTTGATCCGGGGGGGGAACTGGTGACTTAAATGCAGTAGGGAGATTGTTGTTTCTCTCGTTGGGTGCTGGCAATGGGAGGCTCTGGCCAGTTGAGCTGCCGGCCCGTTGCTCTTCGGCGCCCTATGCGTAGGAATCGTAAGGGGCCCTTCATGACTCTCCGCGGTTTCTTGCCTGGTCCAGCAGCGAGAGCTGCCTTTACGGACCTCCGCCAGCCGCCATGCACGAGATTTGGGCGCCTTCCCTGCCTGTCTGAGGCCGCCTACTTGAGCAGTGGCTTTTGTGCAAGCACCAACTGTGGGACTGCAATTCAGGGCCCAGAGTAGGAGGACCTGCTCGCAGCCGCTGGCTTTGCTCGCCGAGAGCGCTGGCACCCGAGCCTGATCCAATCTAGTGGGATCAATACCGAGGCAAGCTGTTCGGCACGATTCCGATGGCATGGAAGCATGCGAGCTAGCTTGAGCGGTTTGCCCCCCTGCTTCGCCAGCCCTTGCATTGGATTTCTGGTCTTTGGCTGTATGCGAAGTCTGTTGTCGTATTTAGTGTGGATGCTGACTGGGGCTCTGCTTGCATTGTCCACCGAAGGAGAGGTGGGTGAAGTGGAAGAAGCAGGAAGATCAGAACAGTCAATCAAGCCACATCATCAGTATGAATATTTTTTCCAACGGTGCCCTTGCATTCTTGCCTCTCGGCCAATCCTGGCCCTCGGCCATGGGCCATGGGAATCCAGCTTCGGCTTCACTCTGGGCATCTACGGGCCCCGTATCCTTGCCGCGCATCCTTATGATCTGGTCGCGCTGTAGCAGCAGGAGCAGGAGAAATCAGACGCAAGGCCATCTCGCCCTGCCCACCCTAACGTCAATGGCGTCTTCCAGCGCCAGACGCGCTGTCAGCTTTCTCCTCGCCCTCGTCCGCCTTCGCAGGGCCTATTTCGATCCGATCGATCCAATCCGAAATCGATTTCGGCCAGCCCCATCCGATTCGATTTCGATATCCCGGCGATCCGACGCATCCCGATGTCTTGCATGGCGTTGTGGTGCACCCTGGCGCGAACGAGCCGATCCGATTTTGAATCCGTGCCGATGCAGCCCGTCGCCGACGCACACCCGATTCAAGCAGACTTCCCGATTCGATGCTGACTGATCTGTCCTCGTCGTCCTCGCCCTCCCTTCGCCTGCGGCGGCGGTCAGGGACAGCATGCTCTTGTCCGCGCTGGTCCGCCACATGGACGCCTCCCGCCTGACATTGCCGCAGCTGTGCGCCGCGGTGGCCGACTGCTCCAGGCGCGCGCCCGCCACTGCGCGCGGGGTGTTTTACACCCATCATGATCGGCACGCGTTGATTTTGGGACATGTGGGGAGGAGGAGGAGGAGGATGAGGAGGAGGAGGTTGGGCTACGTGCGTGAAGGAGGACCACGGGGGTGGTGTTGCATATCACGGCCGGGGCCATGATACTTCAGCATATGTCCTGGCGGTGTTCCTACTTTTCACCCGTCTCCTGGACCCCCTCGCTTGCTTACTTCGGACAATGATTTGCGAACGTTCCTCTTGGACGCGCCCCTCTTGTGAACGCCCCCGACGATCGCCTGTTTATTGCTACTGTCTCCGTCGATAACGCCAGCGGATTTGCCCTGGGGACTCCTCGCCCTGGCTGGACCATACATCGAAATCCGAGTCCCCCCAAGAAGTCCACTGACTTCCAAGGGATCCTGGCCGACCTTCAAAGGCGAGCCAGGCCCCGTTATAACCAAAGTGGACTTTGGCTCTAGGGCTAAGCCCGCCTAAACGCACGGAGAGCTCCTCCCCGGCACTAGCGAGGCCGAGCCAGAGGTTGTCGCCAACGCCGACGCTGAAGCTGACGCGATGTGTTGACCAAGAATCGCAATGAATCCGACGGGTCTTACGGAGCCTGGCCCTGGAGTGGTTTCTCCAACTAGGCTTGTCCTAGCTCCATCCCTAGAGACCTGGTCCCCTGTAACCTCCGCTCTATGTTTCTCTTGCACGGTCAAACTATCCGCACGGTTTCCTCATGATTTCTTCTGCTATCCACAGGGCTTCCTCTGCTATCCGCATGGCGTCCTCTGCTATCCTGATGGTATCATATTTACCCGCATGGCTTCCTCTGCTAGTCACATGGCTTCCCCTGTATGCGTATTGTTTCCCCTGCGTTTCCAAGTGTTTCTTGTGGTTTTTCCAACGGCGCCCCAACAATCGTCCAACCATCGTCAAGCTCAGAAGTAGAGTATAATAGAGCAGGGTAGAGTAGAGTATCTTAGAGAAGAGCAGATGAGTAGAGCAGAGCACGGCAGAGAGAAGGAGTAGGAGTAGGGGTAGAGTGAAGTTAGCCAGGTCGAGCGAGTCAGCGGGCCCCGCCTACTCCCACCCTCCCTCCTACATAATAACCAATGCTGGTACAGCTTGATGTTGGGAACGGAACGCGCTCCCAACTCGCAAACGGACTGTGCTCGCGATCGGCCCCGCTTCCGACGATTCGGCGGAGGGGCGGCTACGCCTGAAGGCAGAGGCGGGACCCGCAGAACTTCCGACGGGCGCGGCGAAGACGACGCACCCGCCGCGCTGACACAGCATTGCTGTTTTGACTAACAAATTGCGCTGCGCTTGGACGAGGACGGCTCTTCGCCCGCTCTCGCGCGGCCCCGCTGCCGCTGTCGTTTGCACGCGATTCGGCGAACGAGCTATTCGCCGCGCCCGCTCGGGACATGACTTCATAGTGAAATGTGCACCTAGTCGCCCGCCCGTGCGCCGCGTCAGCGTGGGACCGCCATTCCCAGGCGAAACTTGCGCAGCGCCGAGGCGAGAGCTATAGTTTCGCCCGCTCGCGCGTCGATGAGGCGACGTGCAAAAAATGTGCGCCGCGCCAAGGGAGAGTTCCATTTTCTAGAAACATGAGCGCGGCGCCGAGGCGAGAGCGACATTGTGGCCTTTTGCGCGGGATGTACGCCCCGTCCCGCTCACGCCACGCATTTTGCAACATGGACGACATAAGATCCACGTTGAGATGAACTTCGTCGATGTTGTATTGTTTTGAAGGATGGAAAGGCCTGGGTGCGGGGGCTATCGGCCAGAATGGGAGTACACACCCACAAGGAACAAGGATATCATAGGAGTAGTAGTTAGGTAGAGTAGGGTATGATATGGTATGGTATAGTAGAAAAGGGCCGGTCAGGGGATATCATACGAGAGTAGAGTGGAGCAAGGGAACGTATATCAGAGTAGAGTAGAATATAATAGAGTAGAGTAGAGTAGGAGTAGAGTGAACGAGAGTAGAGTAGAGCAGCGTTGGTTAGGATAGGGTATGATAGGGTAGTGCCGGGCACAGTAGAGCAAGGTCGGGTAGAATTGTCGAGTAAAGTGGAGTGAGTGTAGTTTTCCCCATTCCAGTCCAGTCTATTCGAGTCCAGTCTGCGTACGTTTACTCCAGTTCACTCAATTCCAATCTTCTGCTCCATGCGGAGTCCGCCCTGGCAAACATCCGATCAGCTTGGGCCTCCCTGGGCCCTTCACCGGCTTCACAGCAGCCACTTGGCTCAAGCGGGTCACGCGTTACACGAGGAAGCCGGACGAGTTACACGAGAACGCCGAACGAGTTTTTCCCCTTCCCTCGTGCTTGCGATCTGGGGTAAACCGAGGTGTTTCCGGTTTCCCGCTTCGCGAACACAGCCATGGCTGGGCGTTGCCGGGCCTGTGCGGACTATGGGGTGGACGGCCCCGCCTTTGCTTGGCGTCGGTATTTGCGCAAGGCACCAGGATCCCGCGGCAGCCCCAGCCGCCGCAGCTGCCCAAACCGCCGCTGAGTCGGAGTCGAACATGGACGACGCGGAGTCTGGCCTCACCCAGGCCGCTGCCGCTTTGCAGCTCGTTGGCGTTCCCGCGCCGCCCAGGCTTGCCCTGGGCGCGGCGATGGTTGCCGCAGGAATGGAGTCAGCTCAGAGGCAAGGGGGGGGGGGGCGACACCGACATCGACAGCTGCGTGGGCGAGTCTGCAGTCCAGTCCCCCCTCACACGATCATGGCGCAGCTGATGGAGTCAGTTGTCTTACAGCAGTTCGACGTGGTGCAGGTGGCGTCGGCCGTTACCTCCATGAAGGTCCAAGGTGGGCTTCACGCCTCGCTCTGCCCTCACCGGCTGGGCGGCGTTGGAGGCTGCCCTTCACGGACTCGCATTTCAGCCTTCAGCGGTCGATGCGTGGCTCCGTTTGGGTTTGTCCCCGCTGGAGGGCCCCGCCCAAACGGCGGCCTTGATAGAGCAGCGCTGCGACAGAGCACGCCTGCTCTTGTCGGTATCCGACCAGCCTGGCTGGCCACCGGCCGATGCAGCGGCTGCTCGCGGAGTCGTGGATTCCGTTGAGGCGGCCCGGGTGATCTGTCTTCGGGATCTTCCAGCTTATCTTCGCCGCCGCTCGCAGCATGGCCCGTGTCAGGTGCCTCGCTGGGGGGAGCTAGGAGGTGCAGCACGGCGCTTCCTTGAACAGGAGCTTCTGGCACCGGACGAGAGCATCCTCACACAGCTTTCGGACCTGGAGGGTCTCGCGGCGTCGCTCCCAGGGTGCTTCGTGGCCCCCCCGTGGCTCGTTCGACTGTGGAGGAGCTGTGCGCCCACAGCCCCGGAGCGATGGGCCGTGCCAGGATCGCGGCAGCGCCAGCTTGGCGCCCGCAGGAGTTTGGTGCAATCGGCCGGCGGATGGGGGCCTACCTCCGCTATGCGGCGAGTGGGCCTTGTCCCGTCAGTTTGCGCATGATCGTTTTGTTGGATGCGCCTGCAGGCTGCTTCGGCGCAGCGTCGCTGTCTGACTTGCGGCATCATCCTCTTCCCAGCTCTGCGCACAAACCGCAGAGGGCGTCTTTAGTACGCAGCGCGCGGCTCACAGACCGCCCCATGGAGGTCGGCCTCGGCGGGGGGGGGCGCCGACGCAGGGGCCCCGCGCGCTGATTCTGGCGACGCTGGCGCCGTCGACAACTCCAGCCATCCCGTCGGCGATCTCCTCGGCCGATGTCCTCTTTCTCTTGGATCGCAGCTTCGGCGTCAACATATATTGTCTTTTCGAAGACTTGCCCCGCGCGCGGCGGTTGGTGCGCGAGCAGCTGGCGCATCCCCAGCGGCGCGATGGGACTTGCCCCGGGCCTTCCTCCCCGCTGCAGCAGTGGTCGCGTTGGGCGCGCGGGCGATGATCCACCAGCTGCGCGGCCTGGGCCCCTCCTTCCAGCGCGCTCATCTCGGGAGACAGCGTCTTCGGCGACGGCGCGGCCCCGCTGCTGGAGCTGTCCTCGGCGCCGGCAGCGCCGACGCTGAGCGCGCCCCGCGACGAGGGCCTCCGTCGGGCCGAAACATTCGACAGCGCGCGCTCGCTCGCCTCGCCGGAGGCGCGGGCTGCAACGGCGCCCTCCCCGCCTCGGCGGCTGGGCGATCGCCCGAACAGCGGCGGCGCGTCGCCGGCTTGACGCGCGCCCACGAGGCAGCTTGCGCGGCGGGTCCGCGAGGGTCGCTTATGCAGGCGCAGGTCAAAACCAGCGCGCTGGCGCGTTGCGACGGAGCTGCTGTGGGCAGGGCCTCTCTGGCAGCCCGGGGCATCGGCTTTCCGCCGGCCGCTGGGGCGACGCCGTTGCAGGCTGGGCAGTGGGCGGCGCTCGAGGATCGGCTCGGGGGCTCCGTGGACGGCGGCGCGCGCCTTGCCGCGGGCTCCGAGGCTCTGGCGCGGCAGGCTGTGGGCCTCTAGCGCGGGCGGGCGATTGTCATCGGCGGCGACGCCGTCGCCGTCGCCGCTCGCGAGGACAGCTTCACGCAGAGCGCTTCGAAAGGAAAAAAAACTGCCGACGGGGGGGGCGCCCCCGACGGCGGCCCCGGCGCGCGGCGGCAGCGGGATGGCGCGTGCTTGCGACAGGGCGCCGCTTTCAGAATTCTTGACGCTTCGCGCATCCCCACCAGCCCATCCAGAAACGATGTCCAGGCAAGTTGAAGAGATCTGGGAAGCGGGGGGGCAACGAGAGGGACAGCCGATCCGCGCAAAGGATGGGGCGGAAGAGGTGGCCAGATGGATAGATGAAGTGGGGGGCGAGGAACCGAGCGAAGGAGGGGTGAGGAGAATCATGACGCTGGGTGGATGGTTGAATGCCGCTCGGATGCTTCTTGGAAGCCTTTTGGAAGCCTCTTCGGGCGTCTTGGGGGTCTCTTGGCGGTCAATGGGGGTCTTGGGCGTCTTGGGTGCTTCGGGGGGGCCTCTTGGGGCCGCTTGGGGCCCTCTTGGGGGCCTCTTGCAGGCCTCTGA